GTATTGGAGGTATATTATGGCTCAAAAGTGTTTCTCTAGTTTTTGAATCACGGAATTATTGACAAATTAAGCAGGAACTAACAAGGTTTTTCAAATCTGAACTTACGACGGACCAATACAAATATTTTTTACAATACTAATCATCTTTGCTATTCCCGAATGAGTTTCATGTTGAAGTATCATAACAAACTTTCGTAATGTTCTAGGTACAATCAATCTAGACTGATAATATAAAAGCCCATCGTTTTTTTTCCATTTTATTATTATTCTTGATGAATCAAAGTGACAAGAATGTTACAAGAATGTGATGAAACTAGCATCATGCTCTGTCCAGTGGAAAGGTTCCTGATATGTATCTTGGAAATATCAAATATTAGCAGGATCTAAAAGATATGAGACAAGCGAAGACACTCCTGGGAACCCACAACCAGAAATATTCTACCGACTGCATCAACCTATGTGAAAATGAGATTCCAATGCTGATTGGAGTCCTCTCGATCGAGAGGAAGTAACTCCGGCAGAGTGCAGCATCTGTGAGGAAGAGTACGAAAACTCTATCGACATCCTTTCGAATTATGTAGTTTTTCGCAACGCAAGATACGCAAGAGCACTCTGTCTAGGAGCATATGAAATCGAAGCAGATCTGCCTTCTTAAAAACCATCCCATATCCTCAAGTTTCTGAGGAGAATAGGATTAGAAGAAAGTAGACAACAGATCACATACATATCTTCACATACATTCCTGATTGTAATTTATACCATTTCTGAGTGTCATACGTTTTTAGTATCTCAGTTTATAATAGTCTTACTCACTACTCTCAACGTTGAGTGAAAGAGTGTTGCTCTCTGATATCTGCAGTGAGTGTCCATCCTGCATTTTGTCAACATTTCCATTTTTTATGTGACATTGTTGTTGGATGCTTTTGGGTGTATGATAAATTGACATTCATCATACAGGGCGTGGAAGGAAATTCTGAATTGAGACTCTATCACGAATCTGCGATTAGAAGTCCATCGTTCAAGTTTGAACCCCCTGATTGGGTATGAAAGTGTTGAAAAGGAATATTCTCAGATAAATTATGAACATACAAAAATGGATATATATTTATATAAAGCAATACATTGAGAATTCGCATTCTCTATGTGATGAGAATATTTTTTACTCTTTCTCAATTTCAGAAGTTTTTATATTTTATTTTCAAACTCTTATCGTGTGTGTTCAATAGATATAATTCAATGTTCGTCGTGGCATATAGCCAGGAAAGTAGTTGTTTTCTATTGAATAAACTGAAAAAGAGTAGATATTCTCATCACATAGAGAATGCGAATTCTCAATGTATTGCTTTATATAAATATACAGTGTGTCCACCTTAAGGACTTACCACCCCTGTAAAATCGTTATTATCCGACCAATTTCAAAAAACCTTTTTTTGTTGGATAGGTATTTGAAATGCCCATCCAACGAGAGAGTGATCTAATTCTTGGACTGTTATCGTGGCCAACTGCGACAAATTTCAATGACCCATATTCCAGAAAGTACTATTAGGGATTTTTTTCCGCGAAACTTGATGATGGATTCTGAATCAGTACCACTTGAAATATACCTGTACCGATTTTCATCATCATAAAACACAGGGTGTCCGAAAAAACGAATCATCGTTTTCTTCAAATAGGTGATCAGCAAATGTAGTTCTGTGGTTTTTCTAGAAAGAAATAATCACAAATCATCATTGATGATTATTTCGTCATTTGAATATACAATGTGTCTGAGAAAAAAATTAAAAAGGATAGGTAAGCAATATTTTTCATCCTGATAATTCTTCACTCAAAATAGAAAGATGAATCAGGATCACTTGGAACACACCTGTACGGATTTTCATCATCATTAAACACAGGGTGTTCGAAAAATCGAATTAATATTTTTTTTGAGTTCATGAAAAAATATTGGCTACTTTTCCTTTCCAATTGTTTTCTCATACACATAGTATTTTTGAATGATGAAAATCGGTACAGATATGTTCAAAGTGATCCTCAATAATAATGTGTCATCAATTCTTCTCAAAAATACCACAATACTACATTTTCTGATCACCTACTAAAAAAAAACATTATTCGTTTTTTCGGACACCCTGTGTTTTATGATGATAAAAATCAGTAAAGGTGTTTCTCAAGTGATCGTGATTCAGAATCCATCATTGTTTTTTGTGAAAAAAAATCCCTAATAGTACTTTTTCAAATATGGGTCAATAAAGTTGGTCGCAGTTGGCCACGATTACAGTTCATGAGTAAAATCATTCTCTTGTTGGATGGACATTTCAAATACCTATCCAACAAAAAAAAGTTCTTTGAAATCGGTCAGATAATAACAATTTTACAGGGGTGGTAAGTCCTTAAGGTGGACACACTGTATATCCATTTTTGTATGTTCATAATTTATCTGAGAATATTCCTTTTCAATTGTTGTTGGAACTTGGTGACAATAGAAACATTATGATTATTATTATAATTTTTATTATTACACATTTTTCAATGATCAGAATTTGAGAAGAAACAACTATCGATATGAATAATCATCAAGCACTATTCGAAAATAATTTATGCAGGTCTTTCCTCTGTAATTTCGAAGATGGCGTTTTCGGTAACTTCTGGACGAACTTTATACCGCCCACTAGCCTATGTAGGTGTGTCATTCGTTGAACAAAGAATTCATCAATTTGTGCTGCCGTCGCAGATGCACCTTTCTTCAGAACTATTAAGGCTGCTGGAAGATAGCCATCGGTGATATGCGGTATCCCAAAAACTCCAGCTTCTTCGACTGCTGGATGTTCTTCTAATACTGATTCCCAGTGGTCAGCAGCGACCTGCAGGAGTACAGATTGAATATTGTCTCATCAGGACGAGGAAATATTTTTCAACCATTCCAAAGTATGGAATAGTGACAGTCACTATTGAAATGAAATATCTTTCAATCCTATAGCGATTCATATAGTCGTCAAAAATTAGTTAGTATCTCTTTGTAACCATTTGAATTGAACAAATCAGAACCCACAGTGATTTAGAGTTCCATTATGACATTTTGGGGGTAAATACGTGAGAAATATGTTTTCATGGATAAATACACGTTTAATTGTGTGGAAGTCTTATTGTCATGGCGAACAGTCGAGAATCAAGAGAGTGAAGGAAATGTAAGAATATGCTCGATCGATTTTTTGTACTTCCCTTGATTCGGAATATTTTGCCAAATGACAACAAATATATTATGAAGTCAATTCAGTGTGGAATAGATATAACAAAAATTCGGCAATAATCTGAAGGTAATAGTAGTTGTCAAAGTATAGATGAAGTATAGATGAGATGTTTGAGGCATTCTAGTATAGAAAAGTGTCGATTAAAAACAAGGTGCATATTTATCATTGGGAGAGATAGGTATATACGTATTAATAATCAATACGGGTAATCTCTATCTGTTTCCATAGCGAAAAATGAAGCCGATTTTTGAAGACAAATGACTATCCATAAGGAAAAGTTTTGAAACAATCAGACACATACTGCTTTGATTGAAAGGCTAGTAAACGTCATTGTCCACCGAAACGCATGTCTTTGATGACTACTATAATAGCGCATGGCGCATGCGTATCATGCCACCAAATCCTTATGGATATTCATTTGTTTCATATTTTTGGATTCATCCTGGCACTCGTTATGATCAGTATTGTTTATTAATACGTATATGGAGATAGGTAGCTTCTCATCATTGAAATTGACTGTGGATTGGCCGATTCTAGAAATGATCAACCATGTTCCAATCATTTTATTTGATACGTAAAGTCAATGATTCTGACATTCTTGATCGCACTGTCAAAATAAATGGTGTCAGTTTGAATCTGGGCATACAGGATCTCTATAGATTATATAACCATTGTACCTAGTGGCCGTAGAACTATTCTATAGATTTGCCGCTTTCCACTTATGGAGAACACATATCTGGTCGCTCCAATGTATGTACCAATATTAGCAGAGAGCGGCACAATTTTAACAACCACTACGATGCTACGATAACTTATGGAAACCCTGTGTATAAACACATACTTTGTCAAGAGACTGAGTTGGACGAGCAACGATTTAAATAAGTTCATCATAGGTCTAACCTTCAACTTAACGCGACCTCAACCTATTGTTGAGAGATAGAAGAATACATGATTCTTATGATTAGGAAAGAAAGTCTTGAAAAAAACATACAGTATAAGAATTAAGGTGATTCAAGATACCAGGAAATACATTCGTTAACTATCAATATCATATATCAATACTCATTGAAGAAGTGATAAGATTAGATGAATTCAGCTATTATAATTGAAAGAAAATAGAAAATGTACTCCAAATAAGGGATGTCATGATACTTGAAGTATTCAATGGAAGTACTGATATAGATACTATATTATTATACAGATTAGGGTATCTGAGGAATGATTGATATTGATTGAAGCATGGTTGATTATTTCCTAATACGAAGGTACTGGAGAACGAAATGATAATATCGATGATGAGTGGGTGACTGGCCATAATTTATCTCATTTAATCTAAAGTATATAATTAAATAACACTCTCTTTGTTTAAATTATTTTTTCGTCATATGAATCTCCTGATGTGTACAATGGTGATCATCATGAAAAATACCAAGCAGAAATGATCAGACAATAATCTTGCTCAGTAGGTAGAATACTGAATTATGAGACACTACTCAGTAAGAACTTATATAGTGTAGGAAATGAGAACGTTAGTCTGATTGTACGAAATTTTTGCGAAAAAGTCAGTCTGTGTTGATTTAGTCACGATGTGGTAGAGTCCGACCACGTTAACTTTGGGACAGCATGTGACGCAACGCATATGCATATTCAATGCATACGCGACCACGTGCTGTCCCAATGTTATCGTGGTCGGACTCTATTTTCCAATTCATTTATGAAATGATCTTACATAGGCTAACGTTTTGATCGTACCTTCACAGCACCATACTTGAAAGATTCAGTACATCTTCCCACGATGTAAATGCACTCATCTTCGTCATAATATCCTCGGTCTCCAGGTTTGATGAAACCGTCTTTGTCGATTTTAGAGGAATCATCATCATTGAGGTACCCAATCATGGCGTAAGGAGATTTCACGCAGATCTCGCCTTGTTCATTGGGACCCAAGATTTCTCCCGTTTGTTCGTCAATGATCTGAAATCATGAAGGATAGGATTCAACAAAGAATAACGAGGATAATTTGATATACACTCCGCATCAAAATCAACGCGCCAATGAAATTTTGTCCACTTTAGTTAATTTTCTCGCTTACTGCTGACTCGATTTGGATAATTAAGTTAACATGAGTACGTTGAAATAATCGAGTGATGTATTTCTAAGACAATCTCGAGAAAAAAGTCTAGATAAACTTGTGCCCAGAAATGCTCCATTTCAGAGATTCAAGATGTTGAAATTGGAAGAAGTTCAATGTCAAGAATGTTAGGGCAATTTGAAATAAATAATGACGTAGCGGCCTCTAGATGTTATATGAAAATCAACACGAGAAAATGTTTTTCCACGTCAAAAAAACTCTGGGTACCAAATTTCGTGCAGATAACTTATTATTTGCGAAAGTGATTTGAGTTACCATGGACTTCCTCCAAAGATAAAACAATACCAGTCGGACTACTTGGGTCCATTTCTACATGATGATGGCCTTATATAAGCCCGAAACATGTACTACATGATTGATCTCTGATCCTTCAAATAAATGTTGTGGTGTGGAGATGAATTTGGGTTTCTTAATCTATGAACTACACCACTCCAATTTGATTCACCATCGCCAGAATATAAGAAGACATTCACGGCTATCAAGATCTACATAGACTATGAAAAACTACATGGAGTACATTTGAGGTTCAATCAATCTAGAGATGGATGTGTGATCGCATCATAGTTGAAATTACGCCAGGCGGGCAATCAGCCACTCTCATTTGGAAATTTCAGTTTTGGATTGTTACTGTCCTTCTGTCCTAGGTGATGTTATGTATTCACGTTGGGTCAGATTCACACCAGATAGCGGTCATGAATGTCATCTGGGGACACCCCTGCACTGCTGTGGCCCGAAAACGGTCTGTGGGTAGTCAAACGTTCCTGAACAATTTGAGTACAATTCAGCATTCAGGAAAGAGACAAAAAAACATTAATATGATATAGTCTAAGGAATATTCCCATGATATCAGATTTTTTCTAATTCTTTCAATTAACGGAAAATTTCATCTCAAAAATTGAACAAAATACGAGAAAAAATCAAGTACGCATGGAAATTTGGACAGAGGTGACGTCAGATTTCCTACAGTGTAGAACTTTTTGTGAAAAAAGAAGTCTAGCCCCAAATTGTATTATGATCCCTGCATTTTTTTTATCAGTGCCATTCGATAGAACACGTCGAGCAGTGTTTGAAATATTTGCACTTATTCCAATGCCACCCTGTATAGCCAGAAGTAGTTTTTTCTTCTTTTATTTACCAGTTTCGTTCATTTAATGAGCATTCGTTGAAATGACTTTGAGCTTTCACTTTTTATTTGTCTATATCAATATGAATGTTTTATCGTCAATATTGATAATGAATGAGTGAAATATGATTGATTCAAGATTGTAATTCTCATTACTCTACAAATGGATAAAGTGGTATTATATATGTATACGGTTCATAAGTGTAGATGAAACTCCATTTATAAGGTGACTGTGGATGAAAACACTTACTTTAATTTGCACATCTGGAGCACATTTTCCCACTGACTTGATGTTATTCAAATGACTCGGGTCTTTCTTGTAATTGAAGCTCGAATTGAAACCACTGATCTCCGTACATCCGTAGACGTTGTACACATGAGCATTCTTGAACAGCCTTCTTGTCTCTTCGTACTGCTCTGGAGGTATCGTCGTACCACCTGATAGATAACAACGGAGAGACGAAGTATCGTAGTCCTCCTTATTCTTCACAGCGAGAATGTGTCTGGTCACTCTTGGAGGAATAAAACAGGTTGTCACCTTGAAGGATATCATTTTTTTTATTATTCTTCATCCAAATATGTTACACTTCATTCGAATTGATCTATACACTCAGAGAAATAGTATGGGTTGAATTGACAAAAAAATCGTTCAATCAACATAATTATAATTGTTGAATAAAACTACAATGATGGTACATTCAACACCAATAAACTTAGCAGAACCACTTCAATATTTCGGATTTGCAATAGTACTATAATTTGTTACTAATTTAGTTCTAATTTATTATCATATTCGCAAATTTATTACTCTTCATTAAACAGAAAAAAACAACGGCTCTGCTAGCTTTATGTCAACCTAGCAGAACCATAGCTGAAAATTTGATATTTTGAAAATTTTAAATATCCCATAATTTATAACTATTTTATTACTAACTTATAACTATAATCACGAATTTTTTACTCATCATTTCAAGGAAAAAAACGACGATTTGTCTATCTCGATCTCAACCTAGCAGAACCAGAACTAAAATCACATGTTTTTCGAAATTCTGTTGTATCATCGATAAGTTACTAATTTATTACTAATTTATTACCACATTCGCAAATATCAAAAAAAAAACGACGATTTCAACCTAGCAGAACCAAAACTCAAATCGCATGTTTTTCTTTTTGATTCTATTGTATTATCAATAAGTTACTAATTTATTACTAATTCATAATAATTTGTTCAAGTAACAAAATGTTTGCTAATACAACTAAAAATGTTGTTATAGTAACAAGATATTTTGTCGTGGATATAGGACAAAATATGTTGTTAATTCAATCAAGTTTTCTCTCCGTCAGTAATGAATTATGAACTGAATGGAATTTCCGGAAAGTTTCAAAAATATGTCATTCGAGTATTGTTTCTGCAGCGGGTGGAGATAGAAATACACAAATCGGCGAGCAGAGCCATAGTTTTTTTTCTGTTTAATGAAGTGTTAGGAATTTGCGAATGTGGCAATAAACTAGTATTGATAATTCAATATAGTATTTCAAAAAACATGTCAATTGACTTTTGGTTCTGCTAGGTTGAGATCGAGGATAGACAAATAGGCGTTTTTTCTTTGAAATGATGAGTAAAAAAATCGTAATAATGGTAATCAGTTGGTAACAAACTAGTAATAAACTATGGTATATTTGAATTTTAAAAAAAAATAAGTTTTTAGCTATGGTTCTGCTAGGTTGACATAAAGCTAGCAGAGCCGTTGGTTTTTTCTGTTTAATGAAGAGTAATAAATTTGCGAATATGATAATAAATTAGTACTAAATTAGTAACAAATTATAGTACTATTGCAAATCCGAAATATTGAAGTGGTTCTGCTAAGTTAATTGGGGTATATCATAACAGCTCGCTCTCAGTTATATTTGGTATACAAACGAACAGGAAGTTATGATCAACATAAACCTATTTCAATTCTAACTAAAGATAGTATTTGAACGATATTATATTGTGACTAGAGTATTATTACAGCTTGCTCACTGTTATAGCTAGTGATCAAACGAAGAGGAAGGTAAAATCAACCTACAACTATATCAAATCACACTAAAGATATTATTCGAACTATATTATGTTGTGTAATCAATATATTATTATACAGCTCCTTCACTGTCATAGTTGGTAGACAAACGAACAGTAGGTTAAAATCAACGAACCTTCTTTGAAGGGTTGACAATGAACTCTTGTTGTTCCCATTGGTATTTGCAGGGCGACAGCGTCCATATGAGATTTTGTTGCTGGCGTCTTATTTGATTCTTTGTGTTGTGGCTTTATATTATCATTTTACATTATACCTTTTTCGAATGATATTATTATAATAAATGTAACATAACAAACATGTCATTCTATTTGTGTTATATTTGACATATTTTCTTCAGTGATTTGAGTGATAAATGGTTTTCTTGATTTTTAAAAATCGTGAACGAACCTCAACCTTAGTTTCATTGATTTTTGGTTGATTCACAGACATCTTCCTGTGACATTCACAACGATGAAACTTTGTATCCAAGTTTTCCATGTGTTTTTCATTACAGTGTAAATCGAAATAGGGAGAATCTCGAAATTCGCCATTGAAAAAATAACACCCTATATGAGGTATTGCGTTCAAACTCTGTATGAGAGTATTCCAGCTTTGCCCTAATCCAATTGGCTATTCAGTTTCCTGAAAACAATTGCCTGATATTCGTTTTCGAAATTTTTACCCCTTCATCAAACAATATGATATAGGCCTTGAAAATATGGATATTCCAAATTTGTCCACATTTTCGAAGAAAGTTTGTGGAGTAGGTACTTTAGTTGCCAATTCTTGATTCACAATTCAGTCAAGAGATTCCACATTGAAAGGGTCTTGAAAACGCGTCTAGGTAAGGAATTCAGAGCCGCATTGATCATCAAAGGTGGCTTCACAGCTCTATATGTATAGTTAGTATGTGGTATGGTATTATTGAATGTTTCTCAACTGATGATACTTACTTTATATTCTTGGATGATTCTCAAAGCATTTTCTGGGTCAAATTTTGGGACAATAACTCTACAGCCTCCCAAAATCATTGCTCTTATCAGCACCATTATACTGGTCACCCAATAATATGTTGAATACAATAATTCCACCTTGGGATCCACAATTCCGAATTTCCTGGGAAGGAGAATATTGTATTGAATAATATTATGTTTAAATAACGCTAGGTCAGTTAATAGCCAATACATGATCAAATGATTGAGAAATTCATCGATGTTTATGAGCAACAAAGAACTCACACAACATTAATTCCTCCATTGATGAGAGCAAAATGTGACATTTTCATCGCTTTTGGTAACCCAGTTGTTCCACTACTGAACAAAATCAGAGCAGTTTCGCGACAATCCACACGTTTCGGCTTGAAAACCTTTTCTTCTTCAGGAAACGGCTTCACCAAATCATGAAAAGTCTTATGCACCTTGGACTTTCCGAGAACGATGATGTCTAGTTCGATTTTTCTGGTTTCCAAGCATTTTTCTAACCTCTCAACTTGCTCTTCATCGACCACTATGATTTTTGGCTTGACTTTGCCTATACAGTGTGCCCAGTCCTCCTCGGTCTGGACTGGATCTATCGCAGAGAATCTGGCTCCCAAGAACAAGGAGGATATTACTGGGATCATGGTATCCATGGTCATTTTGAGGCATGTCAAAACTACATCATCGGGTTTCACTCCGAGATTTTTGAGACTGAGGGCGAACCTGATAGATCTCTGTTTGGCGCTCGTGAATGTTTCTGTAGCTCCTGTATCGCCATGAATCTGGAAAGACATTTATTTGAACAATTGAGGAAAATTCACGAGGAACATATATTTCTTGAACAATGGTATAGATTAGCTTATTGTATTAGTATTTCACCTGAAGAAGCTTCAATATCGAAACATGTGGAAATGTATCACCAAATGTAACACCAAGTCAGTTGAGAAAATATATTTCCCAAATATGTATCCTATGGATAACTGTTTCATGTATAAAAGTGGTCGGTATAAACCTGGATTTGAATTGAACATAAGAGCCACAAGATATCCAAAGCAAATATAAACTCATTTAAACATCAAAATTTAAATTGTACTCGTATATCAATTGGGTCTATTCCTGGAATGGACATGAGATATTTATTGAAGCATCCGAAGTAGCGATATTATCATCCAGAAAATATTTCCGAAGTCAACATCAGAGTTTATGGAATGATAATAGATATTACATAAAATGTGTAAACATGAATGATAATATCAAGCAGAATTTTCAATATTCATGTCCTTATCTAGATGTATTGTACAACAGTTGTATCTTTTTGAAGATATTCATGTTCATGTGAAATCGATTCATCATCAAAATGTTAGGTAATTTAATATTTTTTTCTGTGACGGGAAAAAAGTTTGGCATTTCATCTCTGTTGGCAGGTTATAAAATGTCACTTTTCATAAATTATTTTTTCCCGTGGGAAAAAAATGGGTAATTTTTTCCCAGATATATATAATCTGTTGATGGCTTTTGTTGTGCTATAGTTCCGAAAAATGAGTCAATGATACCGTCTCCGAGGAAGAACTACAAGTCCTTTTATCTTCCATTCGACTTCGCGTTTACGTATATATATATTTTTTTTATCGCTTGGAGCGCACGAAAGGGAATCCCTTAGACTGACAGAAATGACATCAGACATTTGATTACTTCAGAATGGTGATAAAGATGCCTACAAGGTATAGGTGTCCCTGTCCCTACTGTTAAAAACTTGAAATGTCACGTCGATAATTTTCAGATTTCGAAATAATGTAATATCTTCTCAATATTGATTCGTCACAGAAAAAAATAGTGTATTATGCACGGGAAAAATATTAGATTTTAGCTCACGGTTTTTTGTCTTCAATACAACCTGGAGCTAAAATCTACTACTTTTTTCCCTCGTATAATAAAAAACTATTTGTTGTCATCTTCAGTGAACCTGAAGAAAAAATGAGAATCGGTGATGTTTGGAGAATATCTCGAGAACTACTCATCCGACTCATTTTCAAAGACGCTGACGATGGCAAATAATGGATTGTAGAAATACGTTTCAGGGCATATATATGAATAATATGATTAGGTATATTAGCTTTTTGTATTTGAGAAAACAAAGGATAACCGCTACTGTTTGATTGCTTGAATAAACAATGGTTTACATCACCTGTATAATATTGTCCCGAAATTTGTCAGCCTGCTCAAAAAAATACACTCCTAAATTATCAGTAACTTTTTCAAAATCACTTGTACCACCTGAAAGAATCTTCCCACTCATCGTCAAACAGTTTGAAGAAAAACAAATCAGAATTGTGATACAGGATACAGTCCTCTTTATTTATGTTATCGTGTGTCAAGGTGAACTAATCATAATCTCCGTATCGTGTCAATATCAGACTGGGCTAATGAACAACTATTCAATAGTTGGTATAGATGATGAAAGATACCTCCATCCCAAAGTACAACTACATTAGAAATGATTTCGACAGTGGCGAACCTAGATTTATTTTTAGGAAGGTATACCTTTTGTTGGAAGTTCTCCACAGAAACCTATCACCTAATCCTCAGACTGATACATTTCGCTTTCAGCAAACTCACCTCAATCAATCGAATTTGAAATCTCTGAGTGAAAACTAATTTTGCCATTCCGAATTCAATAATTGAAAGAACTGCTGGATTGAGATCACTTCTTGTTCCCACCCCACGACACTGATGAAAAGCAAATTGTTTCCTAATTTCACCAGCAATCTGATTGTTTTTTTATTTTCTGGTTCCCACGAAATGTAATGTTCAGAGAACATCGTGAGAACCAAGGGAAATGAGGAAGGAATTGGTGTTCTTCTTAAATTTCTGGAGGTTATATGCCTCGGGGAACACCTCCCTTGGCAATGTGTTCCAGAGCTTCGCTGTTCGTTGGATGAACAAGTCTTCGGAAAGATATGTTCTGCAGGTCTCCAAATTTAGCACGAAGGGGTGCGAAGCCTCAACTCGACGGGTTAATCTCGCGGGGACTGCCAAGGGAGGAACAATTATTGATATTCCATGGGAACATCTATAAAATAAAGCCAGATCGCCAACTTTTCTACGGTGTCCCAGAGAAGTGAGTGAGTTTGTGAGCGAGGCATCAGCCACGAGACGAATTGCCCTTTTTTGGACAGAATCCAACAGTTTCAGGGTATGTTTGGGTGTTGCACTCCAAATATGGGAACAGTATTCTAGGACTGGTCGGATCTGTGATTTATAGATCATAAGCAGCTGACTGGAAGTGAGATAGCTCCTGGCCCAAAATAGAAAACCAAATATTTGAGATGCACTTTTAGCAATTGATCTAACGTGATTTTCCCATCAAGAAAGGTTATTACTGATAGTAATAGTAGGTCATACATCGAAATGGATGTCTTCAACTGTATGTTTACTCCTGACAAGCTTATGTTGGGCATTGGGATTGTAACAATGTGTCCAAAAAATAATCACAAAAAGTAAGTGAAAATTTATCATTAGCTCAACAAGCAACACCTACCATTGAAAATTACTAATAAACAGCTCGATTGGTACAGGGTGGACAAAAATAAAAAAGTTCTTTATGATAATTTGATGAAACGGTATAGGTGACTTTATTGTGACAACATTAAAAATGGAGATTCGACATCACATGCCTACTTTATACATGGTAAAAAAGCTGTACATCTGAGATACGCTACCAAAAACGAAAACATGTGAATTATTTCTTGTTTGTTCTTGGCAGTGTAGTTTATACTTTGGTTATTCAATTCAATTTGTATTTCATATGTTTCCCCATTTATACCATTCAATTCCAATGATCAACTTTCATATTTCTGCTAACTACTTTTTTTCGTGAGTATCGATCGATATCATTTCATCTATACACCTGTATTATCGATATTGATTAAATTTTTAGGACTCGTTATATCATTACCTTTGATAATTTTGCGGAAATTTTTATCATTAAATTTAAAAAACGAAATGATATGAACATACAGGGCGTTCCTACCTTTGATAATTTTTTTTATCTTAAAAAATGGAATAACGTTTGAAATATCGAAGTCATATAAATCTTTCCGAAATGGCCAACAGTGGCAATTCATTATGAATCAAATTGTAAGATGATCATCAATCATGATTCCATTGAAGCGATATGGTTGAAGTATATCATCGAGTTCATGAATATTTTTTTTTATGGAAATTTCGTAATCATAGATAGGCATATGAAAATCAACATTTGATAGAACTCTCATAAATAACTATAACTGATTTCGCAATATTAGAGAAAAAATTCTAACTATCTTTTGTATTTTCATTCTTGAAACTGCTTGCCTGATATACAAAAAACATAACATGGTTGAAACGAAACTCCGAGACATATAAAATACCTCTTCCTGTTCCAAAAACAGGCCAGACAAAATATTCTTTAACTTATGGAAGTAAAAAGCTGTTTAACCACATACCGTACGAAATCAGGAAGGAGAAAAGCTATAAAAAGTTCAGAAAGCTTGTGAAAGAAGCCCTTGCAACAAAAGCGTACTAGGTACAACCTTGAGGAATATTACAATGAAACTCTGTTGTGATTAGAAGTTTCATATTGCCTTTTATTTACACCCATATGTGGAGTCTGATTTCGACCAATAAGATATGTTTTTGATTGAATGACTTGTGAACTTATGTTCAAATGATGTTTCTCTGTAAAGTTGTGTTTTTACATTTTGTTAATGATAATAAAACTATTTTGTTTTTCAACAAACTGCGAATTTACATGTTCAATTCTGTTTGAGATTGCAACATTTTACATCTTATACATGATGTGTATTTGTATTTTGATTTTAATTTTTTTAAGAGTTCTACAGACTATATTCTGTACAAGCTTTGTCAATGAGAAATCATTTCTATTCGACAATGAAGTATATATTTATCTTATCTTATAAAAAACCCCCTGTGATTATCAAAATAATTTTGATATCCCTTAAAAGATCTCGCCTATCTCTAATTGCAGAAGAGCTAGAGTTCGTGGATGACCGGAATATATAGGATGCCACTAATACACAATATTCTGACCGTTGTGGTATTTTTATTTGTATTTATGAAAATGGTGAACAAAATTCGATTTATTAATGTCGATGTCATACTCCATGAATATTCATTCATGTCATGTTATAAATCAAATGGAAATGTTGAGCTAAATAAGTTAAATCCACATCACATCATTTAAATTTTTGATGCTCACAGTTAGCTACAATGCAAAATGGAAAATCTTCATAAATAAATTACCTCAGTTGATATATTATGCATTCATGCATCTATCGATACTGGATTATTGAGGTACAATTGTGAATAATTTACCACCTCCAAACCTCCAAATCAAACTCGAGAAGGAAAATATTTGTGAGTGGATGGAGTATCGTCTCACAATGACACATTTTCCTCAACTCATCAACCTTCAAATTTCGATATGTCGATATAAAATATACAGGGTATCCCAGAACAACGTACATTTAATTCAACAGGATGAACTAGAGTTCAAAGTAGGTCGATTGTGACCGATTGTGACCAACTTACCTCTATACAAAAATGCACCGTTGGGCCGTGAGAGGGCGATGAATGGAATTTTTTTTTTCAGATATCATTGAATATTTCAAAATCTTTGAGAGGTAATGATGTGAAATTTGGAAGGCAGTCAACTATAAGAAGTGTGCATAGATAACAGGTCTCATCAGTTCAATCGATATATAGAAAGATATTATTATTATTATTATTATTATTATTATAATTATTCTCTGTCTCTGAGATCCAGTTTATTTTTCAATTATTGATTTGATGAACTCATCTAATGAAGAGCTTGCTAAAATGAATATGATACCTTATTCGGGCCCATTGTGCGCCCACATATTCCGACATTCAGCTGGGTATGCCGACTTCCTGGGAGAATTTCGGCAGCTTTCTCAGCTGAATCCCTTTCACGTCCTCTGACCTCAAAATTATGTTATCAAGGACAGCCCTCCTGTGATATGTCAGTGCTGGGCACTCAGTGAGGACATGACATGGCGTTTCGTCATATTCCAGGCACCATCAGCAATGAGCTCTACACTGTAGAAAATTCCTCTGAGTGAATGAATACGTGGTTTTGAGTGAATTTACTGATTGACATTTTTGAGTGAATTCTCAACTCAAACTAGATATTTCATCAAGTTCTCATATCAATGAGAATGTTCATAAAAAATTTGATTGAATCGGTTCATGAATTACCATTTTACACAGTCGAATAGGGTGCAATTTCAACTCAATCGGGCGTGGACCGAAATTGACTCATTATTGCGTGGACCTTGAGTGAAATTTCACTCAATTTTTTTTCCAGTGTAGGTGCCTATTGAGATGATTGTGCCCCGTTAAGAGCCCCACTACCATCTCAAGGTCTCACCTCTTGAGGGATAAAACCTCTTTTGTGAGCCTTTTCGAAGGTTCCTTTATGTGGAGCTTCGATTGTCTCATTCCTGGTGTGTCCTGCCATATTTTGAGGAATTGCTTTTGCAGCTGTTCCTCTATGAAGGACATTGCCAGACTGTTTGGTATTCCCAAGATTGGTTCCGGTTCGACCGGGGTCCGTCCTGAACCGATCTTGGCCAGTCTGTCTGCATCCTCGTTTCCGGGTATTCCTGAGTGTCCTGGGACCCACATGAGGCTGACTTTTCTTGATTTTGCCATCAGGTTTTCCAAGGTCTTTCTGCACTCGGACACCAAATTGGTTGTGATCCTATATTGGATTGCAAAGCCAGTATTGCAGCTTTGCTGTCCGAGGATATAGTGATTGGTCTACGACTTCTCATGATCAGCCTAATATAGTCGATTAGGCAATCATTTTTCCACAATAACCAATATACCTATTTCGGATTGAAGTCTTCGATCTATACTATCTACGAATATACATTGAAATATATCATGATGTGTCTTAAGAGGGATGATGAAATTGAATAATAAAACATAATCACACAAAGAATAGGAGAATAATGTTTTGAATTTGGAAAAAATATGTAGGTCATTCCGTATATTATTCAAACAGGGTTCATCATTGAAGATAAAAATACTTCAGGATACAAAAGTTGTCGGGTTAGCTCTGAACCTCCAGAAAATTGTACGAAGTGAAACAAATGAATATCGCTGAAACTTACTTCGTTATTTCCATCAGAACACCCCAAATATTTTCAGAGAAAATGGAAGATCTTTATTTTATTTCTAAAATATACAGGTCGTTGATTGATATTCGGTTCGACCGTCCATGAAATATACGAGATCGAACGTATATCTGTTTTACCACTAACCAAACCGATTTTTTGAACGCCTCGACACGTGTTTCGCTAACTATGTTAGCATCTTCAGGAGAAGTTCGTATGGACATTTTCAATATATAGTTATGGTTTTA